AACATTTTCTTCTCCATTCGCAAGGAGGGAAATGGTGTTTCCCATCAACGCCCTTGACTGATTTGTCTTAAGAGTACATTTGACCCCATCCACTTTGTTTGTTATTTATATAGGTATAAGCAGGCGGCTTTCTGCTATGAGGAACTCATCTTATCTCAACCAACGATTCCTCTTTATCACTTAGCTTATGCCGATGTATGTGACTTTTTCATTGATGCATATTTTATACTCATCCAGGTTCATGTTTTATTTACAACTATGCGTTTAGACCGTGGAATCTTCTACAACCTACTTGCACATTGAATGACTTGCAATGTGTGAGTAATTCTTATACAACCTACGATGTTTTCAAAATTAGATCGGACTGGACGATCTGACCGGATTGAGACTAGTCTGAAGTACCGAGTCAAGCTGCCTCGGACCAGAACTGGTCAGAACTAAGCGAAGCACACCTGCATCTTGAACCATAGCACCCTTACAAGTTACACGCATGCACCCACGCACGCCTTCCCTGCGAATAGTCTCTTGGCTAACACCTACACTTGTTTTTTTTCTCATTTTCGCCCCTAGATATCAACATTGGAGCCTTAGTATAGCAATTATCTGAAATCATTGCTTTCTCATGATATTATCCTTGTGAGTGAAGAAAACATATAGTGGTTATAGTTTTGGATTTCGATTTCATTACTCCTTGGTAAGAAGGTTGTGACAGAAAAGCATCCGCTGTAAAACTTTGCTACTATGCTTTATTTTGCATGAGTTTTTAAGTGTTGAGTACAAACAACAACAAGAACATTACCTCAGTGCCTCAAAGGCTCCCGCCCATTGTGGGGTAGGGGGGGGGTCGGATGTACGCAGTCTGGCCCCTATGTTAAAACATAGAGCGGCTGTTTCCAGATGACTCTTGATGAGCGTCTAAAGTTGCATGGGCTAACTGTTACTCCACTATCAACACAAGCACAAATAGTTTAAGAGCCATTTTGCTTTATTCCATCTCACTCCGAAGTCAAATAATCGTGAATATTTGGATCCATTTTAGTGTTGAGTAATTTTATACTATTATATTTTGGCATCTTTAATTAATGAAGTAGCAGTTAGTCAAGCAATGCAACTTTCGACGTTGAGCCGGGGGTCTCTTTGGAAACAGCCTCTCTACTTTCAAGTAGGGGCAAGGTCTGCATACACACACCCTCCCCAGACCCTACTCTTGTGGGATTTAACTGGGTTGTTGTTGTATTATATTTTGGCATCTAATTGTCTATGAATTTCATGCCACTGACCGCAACACAATTGGGATTAAGGTATGATGGTAATGATGAATACCAACTAATTCTTTTGGAACATGTGACCTGCTTTGGCTTTAAAGTACCTTCTACAATTTGATTATGGATATGGTTCGTTTTCCAAATACTTCCGTTGAAACGTTTGATTTTTGAGAAAAAAGCACCTGAGTTACCAGGAATATCCACATTGCATGATATTGTAGATATACATGTTGCAGGTCATAGAGTCCGATTTTCTTTTTATTTCATCATCATTGTACTGCATCCTTGAGAAGGTTAACCTTGTAAAGTGAGTTGCCTTCACCTTATCTGGCATCAGGTTCTCTATACTTTAGGTGGACTTGATAATATTCAGACAGCCAAGAAATATTATGCGTCTACCATAGACTTAACCGGAGGCAAGAATACCAGAGCCCTTTTCGGTATATGCTTGGTGAGTTTCCATCTCTCCCTGTGCATGGTGTATGGTCCATCAATGGATTCTTATTGCCTGAAGACTTGCATAACAACATTAAACTAGTAAACAATAAAAGTGCTGGAATTGTGAGTTTCTAATGAATTAGTCCCTCCGTCCCAAAAAAAAAACTCTCAGTTAAGTTTAGGGAATGTGAAAATGTGTGGCCTAAAATTTTCCATGAAACAAAGGATGAGGCTTTTCTTGGGACATCCCAAAAAAGAAATAAGGAGTCTTTTTTTGGAACAGAGGGATTACACTCTTCCACTGGAAAGGAAACTAACAAATTGTTATGCTATTACAGTGCACATCTGCCATAGCACAGCTGACTAAAGGAAGGGGCAAGGAAGACAAAGAGAGATCAGATCAGCTGCAATCTTTGTCCTCTAAGGCCCTAGAGGAAGATTACAAACAGAGAGCTACTGAAAAACTCATTCTTCTCGCTTCGTCTTTTAAAAGCATGAAGCTCTGATCCTTTCGTTGCACACTCCTACCATGTTTTGAAGGGCAATGCTAGGAGTACACCAAATGGTGTATCCCATTTGTACACCAAGGTTTTACAGATACACACAGATACTCAATGTCAGTGCACCTTTAGCATTATTGTATTTTGAATCGTCAAGGTTTTAAGCCCGTATGGCGCAAATTGTTTGTGTTACACCCGGTTTCTTTAATTGTAACTCTAGAAAACCGCGTTTCCCCTCGGGGTTGTGGTTATTGCATGAAGTTAACATAGATATTTCGTTTCTTTTTTCTGTTTCTGTTTTTTTGTTTCTCTAAGCATGAGATTTAACAGAACCTGTTCATAATATTGGAAACAAGAATAGAAGAGTAATTGGACTGTTTTGCTTCAGTTACTTTTCTAGTTGAGGAGATTTTATGCTGTTTCATTGTAGGGTTTCTGTTTGTTCTCAGATCCTTGTAGCGATAAAACATAAGAAATCACCTCAAATAATAGTAGTAAAATATAGTAGTATTTATCTTCAAATTAGAAGTTCTTTATGAAATTCTACTCCCTCTGTCCCGTTTTAAATCGCTTTTTTTTTTATTTTTGGGCATATTTAAGGAAGAGAAAAAAATAGAGTTGATTTTCTGAAATTGGTATTACTTTTTAGGAATGATGATGATGAATGAGCAGATAAGATGGATAAGAGTGACTTATTTTAGGGTTAGTTTAGGTATTTTACTCTTAAAAGTTTACGATAACAAGTAACAGACAACTTATTTTGAGACAAAGAAAAAAAGCAAATAGGCAATTTAAAATGGGACAGAGGGAGTAGTTTACAATTTGCACTATGATATTATAACATTTTATAGTGCTATTTTACTGTATTTTTGGACTTTATATATTGACATTATATTCTTATTTTAGAATATAATATGAAGTTTTTATTTTATTACTTCATGTTTTACCCATAAAACATCACTGCAAAGCCTAAAATGTTGCAGGGTCTTTGATAAGATCCAATGTCATCATAATACATACACATGGAATAGAATTTGATGAATCTATGGAATACTACACCTCTAGTCCAATTGCTATAAATAAATATATAAATTTAAGGAGAAATTGTCTGAAATAATTTCACCCTTTAGTGGCCTTCTAAAAATTATTTGTAGTGTCAAAGTTTTTAGGGGATAGAAGGAATATTTTTTTTACTTCACAGTGTCACTCACATAAATATTTGTTTTAGAAATTATCTAACGTTTCATACAAATTAATACTTCCTCCGTCCCAATTTAAAGTGCATGTTTCGGTTTACGATGTTTGACTGAAATTATTTTCAAATCATTTTATATGACAAATGGTATAGAGTTAAAAAAATAAAAATTACATATTAAAATATTACATCAAAAGATTTACAAACCTAGTTGTGACAATAGTATATTATTTTATCAAATTGCTAACGAAAAATAGATAAAGAAAGTGAATAAAGTTTGACCCTGTGAATAGTGAACATACGGTGTTTAGTTCTAAAACTGAGATGTAATCCGTGTTTAGTTCACATTTTTATTTTGTTGGGAAAGTAAGGTGATTTCAACAGTATAAAGTGTACCGCAAGTCCACATGTCTGCAACACTATTTTCTAAACTACTTTATGTTTAGAAATTCAAATCTCTTTAATAATAGCGGTACAACATATACCGTTTAGATCTTACAAATTCTAACAAACACTAATCGAAGCACCTTTTGTGTTTCTCGCAGTGATTCAAAATTAATTCACCAAATATGGGAGAAAACCAAGGGTTCTTTTTGGCCAATGCTAAGCCTAAGTGATCTTTATTGCTCGGTAATAAGGCCTTTGATGATACATAGGCTAAGAAACATGTGGGAAAGCTTATGAGGAGGAGGAAGGATTTACCTTCTATTGCACAATTTTTTCTATTTATATAAGGGTCTTTAGGTTGGGATACCTTAATGGGCCATTAGTGGGCTTGCATTCGAGGTTCAGTCTTCCCCCGAGTCAAGGCTTAATCTTTCTATCGAGATTTGTCTAAAAAGTCTAGAATAAGTTTTTAAAATGGTACTAAAAAACTATGTGTTTTTCCAAATTAGTCTCCAGGATCAAATAATTACCGAGCTGGTACTCGTTAATTGAGAATAATGCTCACTTTAGTCCTCAACTAACAACTTTAAGTAAAAACTCATTTAATATGGAAACGCAAGGAGACGTCCTCCCTTCTAATTGGACTACAATGTTTTGCCGAAGTCGGGAGACCATTTTTAATGAGTTTTATTTCAAAAATAGACTAATTTCAGGGAAATACCCAATTAAAAGAGACTATTTTGAAAATTTAGTACGGAGTATGAGTTTTAACATTATTTTGACACGCCATTTTAACAAACAAAGCAATGTAAAGAAAGGGATCAATACAAGCCCATGTACCCCCAAGAGAGGGTGGTACCACTACGTGGTCGGTGGTAGATGTTCGAGTGGGTGTCGCTGCCATATCTACGGCGGCCGTCTGGTGGTTCGAACGTTGGTAAGTTTTCTGGCGTCACTAGGACCAAGAAATCTATCAGGTGCAAAGATGACACGTGGATGGTGACTAGGGGTGGACACGGTACGGTTCCGGAACGGTTCCGGTACCGCCACCCCAAGTAACCGGAAATGTTACCGTGCCGGCCGGTACCGGTTCCGGTTCCCGGACCGGCCCGGTTCGGCCCCCCCCCCATTCTTTTTTTTGCTTTTTTTTAAAAAATTTTTAAAGTATAAAATTGTAAATTTGCAATTGTTTAATGAAAGAATGAAATAAAAAATCTAAAAATGTAGTTGTTATTTAAATATTGAAAATGAGTAATACACTAACTGAAGAACAACCACATTTAATATCCTGACAGTTCAAAAAAAGCGACGAGGTAAAGAATCGAAACCCTCAAAGGAGCATATATATCGCTCATCTAAAAAAATTAATTACATAAAAAAAATTTATAACTTATTCTTCAGAACTCGGACTTGCATCTGTGGTTGCATTCATGTAATGCTCCGATTCGAGTTGGTACGATGACTCTTGAGCCCGACGTCTTGCCAAGAGCCAATCTTGGTTGCAAACCAATGTTTCAAGAGATTCAGCGTTAAGACAACTTCGGTAGTCGGTTAGAATGTTGCCGCCAGCACTGAATTCTCGTTCAACTGCTACGGTTGATACTGGGACGGACAACACTTGTCTTGCTAGCATGCCGAGACATGGGAACATGTGTTCGTTCCGCTTCCACCATCCGAGCACGTCAAAATCGACATCGTCGTCATCGTAATCGCATGGCACACCCTGGTACATAGCAAGTTCGTTGTGCGAGCTTA